ATACAAAACTGCTACTGTAACATGGAAAGGATTTTTTTTTCTTCTCATATTAACGTGCTGTAATGCTACAGAAGGGACTGCTTTGTGCTGGGACTCCAGGGCTGTCGTCCTGTGGTGGTATGAACAGACCTCTTTCTCTCTCCTCCACCCCTGGATGTTCTTGCCCTCCTTCCTCAAGGAGTTTTACTTAGGTAGTAAGGTAATGGGTTGATTTAGAAAGCTACTCCAATTAAAAGCTAATCCAGGAAAAAAGTAGTTATTTTTTCAATGTTTTAGCTCTGTGAGCTGGAGGCAGTGCAAGGCAGAGGGCAGGAATGGATGGGGGACAGTGGCACAGCAGCCCTAATCTAGACTTGTTTAAGCCACAGCTGAACAACACTTGGACTTTAGTCTGTTCTACGTGACTCTGCCATCAGCCTGCTGCAAGTAAAGCAAAGCTAATTGTTTCCTAGGTAATTCGCTTTGAATTCTGCAGGTAAAAAGTGCTGAGTGAAAGTCAAATATTATGGGAATAATCCCATTTACTTCAGAATCAGCTCAAGAGGGTGTATTTTTCCACATTCATACTACTGGGAGAAGTAAATGCTATGCTGAAAGTATTCCCTAAGGGAGATTATGTATTTTTGGTCTATGAATCTTTTCAGCTTTTATCCCTTCATTCACTACAAAGCAACTTTACTGGTTCTTACAAAATAAACATAGAAGTCCACAATAAAATGATAGCATTTTTATAGAGCTGCTGCTCACAGTCCCCTAAAACGGAGTTCAGCCTCTTCAGTTTTCTTGTTTAAGGTATATTCTCCTAACAACAAATATACAAATAATTGAATATTTGGAGAACAAAATCTGAATTTTGGAAATGAGTCCTTGGCTATGTATGATGATATCATCAGTGTCATCTACTGAACAACTTTAATTTCATAGTTTAGATTACAACTTTCATGAAAGCTTCAATTACAGAGTCTTTTAAATAGCCTATAGTTAAAAATTAATAAAACTATATTTATTAATTGTTTAGGCAGTACTTTGTTACCAGCAAACTTAGGCCTACAACATCAGTCTTACGTGGTAACTTAACCAATCACTGTCCTTTTCCTACCATTAATTTTCAGTCAAGATTATAAGTGGAAAGCAAATTACATGGATTGAGTATTCAGTCAGTCATTTGGACCAGCTGTAAAAGTTCTATGGTTGCACAGCGCTTGGGAACATTAAAATCTGCCTACCTGTAGTGCTGCTGCTGCTGGCTATACCATATGCTTAAGTAGCAGTGTTGTGGCTCCTAATGCAGAGATTCATTTCTCTTTGCCTCTCCCTTTATGTAAGGACTTCTTTTGTTAATGCAGTTTCGTTATCTTCTGAAGCTCCATTGGCCAGTGTGCTGTACTACTTCAGCAATATAAATGAATTTAAAATTAATAACATTGCCTTCTGTACTAAAGAGTTTGCCATTGTGTTTGTTGTACATCAAATCACAGAAAGTCATGCATTGTTTCATTCTTCAGACTTTTTACCATTTGTCTACTGTAAGAATTTTCAGAAGGCTTAAGAAATTCCCAGACAAATAACTATTTTAAGTTATAGTTAAGATACACTTTCAACTGCAACTCTAATTCATTCTTTAGCAAAAGAAAATATGCAGAAGAATGAAGTTTTATGAGATCACAAAGCTTTATGATATCTTAATAATAATAGTTCATTTATTGCATGCTGATCAGATGGGATGAAGATCAAGTCGTTCTTGTGCACATCTTAATGTACTTGCCTTTTTATAAACCACAACTTCTGGTCCTTTACAGCCTTACCCAAATCTTACCATGTGCCTGTAATGGTTTTGTCCACCCTATGTTTTCACACTTCTTAATCTTCATCATAATTTTATTAAAGAAATCAAAAGCCCGTTTTACATTTTATTGCTCAGATATCCTCTTTAAATTGAAGTAAAAATTACTGAATGTAGGCCTAAGTAATCTAAGTGAAAACTGGGAAAGAACAGAATTCAGTATTGCTCAGTGTTTTTCTGCTCCCAAGAGTACCTGATTACATGCTGGTTTATTAACAATAAATTTCCTCAGTGCCCAAAGCCACCCCAGACTGAGTTGCTTATCTCTTACTTAAGACCCACCATTCTTTTGCTTGATCATTCTTCTGCTTCATGCCCTTGAGGGAGCTAATCTTGTAAACATTGATAGCAATCTGGAAGACACTATGTCAGTCCTTGTAGTGAGACTATATCATAGTGAGACCAACTTCCACAAAATGCAATTAGAACCATTTTCTTGGAAAGCAGCACAAGAAAATACATGAGTATGTCAAGAGCTCTCACCGAAGAAAGAAATCTAGCTTTAGTCTCATCTTTGGTCTTAGTTCAGATTGGTGCTGCACCTCCCAAAAGAGATTCAGCCAACAATTTATGCATAAAGGGTATATAAATCAAACGTATGTGCTTGGTGCACTTTTGCACAACGGACATGATTTGTCATCATAGAAGGTGTAATTACCCTGTCACTTGATCTTGGCCAGTTTTTAAGGCCCTAAGCTGAGCTGTGGCTCAGTTTCGTGAGGACTGAGCCAGTACAAAGATTCAAGCTAGGATAAGGTGTATGTGCACTGAGAGAGGCTAACAGGAGCAACAGAATTAGTGCATTAATTGCTTTGTGATAATTGTCAGTATCCATTTTTACCTCACCCTGTAGATGAAGTAGCCCTCTCTCACTGAAAGACTCAACTCATTTAGATGATCTTTACCACCAGGTAAATGTGTGGCATGCCTATAGGAAGTTACTGCAGTACAGCTGACGTGCAGTAGTTTGGATTTCCATAGCTATGCCTATACTGGGGTAGGCTGTATGGATTGCATGGAGAATGTGATCTGTATTTCATGTGGGTCAGCAGTGGAATTTCCTCTACAACAACTTTCTTTGTCCCAACCTGCTGAAGCTTTATTGCTGTCCAGAAAGAGTCAGGGATAAGAGGTGTTAACCCTGACTTGGTGATCAGAGCAGTGTACTGCTAGGTGAATTTGAGGATTTGGTCCTAAAAAAAAGATTTTGAGAGCTGGGATTTCTGCTTGCTGAACGCTTCGGCAGCTGGGCATCATTACTTCAGTGCTCACAACTGCTCTCCTGCAGAGAAGGCTGTAGGGCTCTGAATCCAGGCTGATAGCAATGCTTGCTTTGTAGCACTTGGGAAAACACTTTAATTCCTTATGTATCTATATTTAATGCTTCTTATTGCCAAAGCTACAGACAGATAAATGTTTAAATTGTATTTAATCCTAGACTGAAGTGCCGTGGTCTTTATAGCCTCTGGAATTAATCTGTTCACTCACCACAATGTTTTGAGCCCACTGCAAACTAGACTAGACTAGGCTTATTTTCTTCTCTCAGTTTAGATTTCTTGAATGTAATGCATGAAATTAAAATGCAGTTTTCCTTCATGCACAATGTTTTCCACATCATTTTGCTTGGGCTTCTGCATAATTAACATCTAGTAATCTAAGTTTAAATTTAAAAGAGAAGAGCTAAGATGCATCTAATCATGTGTCCCAAATAGCATGTGTTCATTTTTCAAATTGTCTGCATACCAAGAACGCCATGCTTCCTCCCAAAGGGGAATTTTCTTAATCCTCAGTTTTAAATCATTTTATGAGTTTCTTTCTGTTGCAAAGCAAACAGCTCATCATCTGTACGGGTATATAAGTGTTCCAACTCAGTAAACGTTTGTGTTATATACAGGATTAGCACATTAAGTTAGTTTGTAGCTATCTGTCTTCATGCTGATTTAATTAGACATGTTCAATCATCGGAGAAAACAAAAAAAAAAAATTACTTGTCTGATGTCTATGTTCACTTCCAGGTCTGTATTATTTTCACTGATTTTGGAAAAATGCAGAATGTTTGCAATTTACTTACTGAAAAGTTAGGAACTTCTGTTACCATCAGCCCACCTCATTTCTACCACACGCCAGAAGCCATAGACACCCTTCGGTAAGTTTTCTCTTGTGCCACAAATTTTACAGCCTCAGATAATATTTAATATGCATACTTAATTTCTACAGTTCGTAATGGGGGAAAATAGTTTCCTTCATACATAAGAAAATTTGTGTTTCAGATTTTAGCATTTGGTCTAAATATAACTTAATGCTTTTCAGCTTATGAGATTGAATCTTGTTCTTTCTGCAGTGCCCCTGCGCAAAGGCAGAATGTGATAAATGTTTTCTCACTGATTTCCATTGGAAGTATAACCTACTGCAAATATTAGGTCAACACAATTTGACTTAGGTTACATCAGCATGTGTTTCTTGAATTTATTCGTGAAGGTACAATTATGTTACCAGATGCTGATAATTCTAAGTACCTTTACCAATTCCCAGTGCTGACAGCTACTCATGTGCTCTGACATGAGCCATATGCAGTGCTTACTTAGAATCAGAACATGCTCCTTGCTTATAGTCTTGCTATTTTAGTCTTGCTATTTGTACAAGTTGGCTTTGCTTTTATTACCATGCTGCTTTTTCTACCTCTCAGCCGTAGAGTGTGTGTCTCTGCTGTTGGAAACACACGGCAGAAAGCTCAAGAAGTGTGTCGGCTGTTTGGCCAGTCATTGGGAAAGCCTTTATTAATAAAAGAAGAAGAAACAAAAGAATGGGGAGGCCACATAAACAGTCACCTATCTAACTCCCCAGACTCACTGACACTGCAGGAAAGAATCCAGAATGCTACTGCTTACGCATCTTGTAGAGTGTTTGCTGTGTTTGAGATAAAGGGAAAAGAAAACAGAAGAAACAAGTTGCTTTAAAAAGATACTTACTTTCTTAATAAATTTTTATGCTTTCTTAATAAATATAAAACTCAAATGTTTCATTTTTTTCTGCTCTGCAACCTACCAGTTGTTCACTTCTAATGAAATGAATCCTTCAACATAAAACACCCTTAGGAATGCTTTATTCCATCATAAGAAAAAAAAAACCCACCATGCATTAGTTTTTATCTTGGTGTCTATTTGCTCCAGTTTATAAAGGAAATATGTTGTCCAGATGTACATTATATGTACAGATACTTGAATGCTTCAGTCATGAGGATAGATGTCTCTCAACCACGGCTGCAAAATATACTTTGATCCATCATATCCACAGAAATAGACTTTCACATCGGGGTGGTGTACCTGAGAAAATATTTCAAATCGAATTAGCACCAGAATTAGCAGTAAATACAAACTGATACTTGGGTGATTTAAATTAGCTTTTTGAAAATTCCTGATTAGTCTAAGTTCATAATGTACACAGATATACTTTCACTGGGATTTTCCACACGCAGTAATACAGTTTATGCAATCAGAACAGTGGCTTTCACAGATCATCAAGGGCTCTACAAACGAACAAATCTCCTGAGGTATCACTTGCTAGATTTAACTGGGCTTGATTTTCTAACACAACACTGTTTCTAATTGAAGTAGTTTCCACTCAGTTGTCACTTGTACAGCTTCCTTTTATTTTTTTTTGGCTGGATCAGTTATATAATTCAACTACGCAGGCAGCAGGAATGCTAAAGCAGTCAGGGAAATGGTGAAGACACACAGAGTTGATGATCTTTCACAGAATCATAGACTGGCTTAGGTTGGATCACCTAGTTCTATCCACCCCATAGTTCCATATGTATAGGCATGACTACCTATTAATTTCAACTTGATGGTTTTTGACTAGAAATCTAGATTGGCAAGCATCTAGATGATCTTCCTTAATAATCTGTGGGAAGACTAAGCCTCTGATAACTGGATTTCATTAGGTAAATATTTGTGATGAGGTATTTGTTTCTCCCCATGGGCTATAAGTGTCACTGACTGGCATAAAGAGGTTTTTTTTAGACACAAGTCAGTGTGGTCAAAACCCAATTTTAAATACTGATGACACTCATCTGCATTCCTGCTCCTATAGTTCCTACTCCTGAGTTCAGACGTTAACTGTTTTGTATTGCTGGCTAACACAATTTTTTTGTTATTAGTCTCTGACTAGTTTAAGAACCAGGTGCATCTTTTGTAATCTAGAGATCAAAAACTACCAAGACCATGATATATAGAACAGAATTATAGGCTAGCGGAGTCTAGCAATTAAAGAAGGAAGACATTATTCAGTTTAGATAGTGACTAAGCAGAAGCTTTTTGAAATGCAGATTTTTCAGGGCTGAATGGAGAAACCAATGTACTTGGCTGGATTCAGTAGAAAGAAATTAAATGACTTGTCCAACATTGATGGGTTAGTTAAACTCTAATATAAAAGTCCATGTCTGCAACAGCTTGTACATAACCAAAGCCAAGCTGCTGAAAGACTTCAGGGAAAAAAAAAGAAAAAGAAAAAAAAAAAAAAGCTAACAAACAAAAGAAAGAAACCGCCTTGGTAGTTGGATACTTTTAAGTAGACAGTAACTTGTTTGAGTTATTTATCACCTTCTGAAAACACACATTTGAAAGTATGGCAGTAGTTTGCATCTCTGCTTTCTCTATTAGTTTCACTGCCTTTGTAAAATAAATAGCTTCTTTTAAGCCAAAGGTCAGCCAACTTTTAAACACAGAGTTGCAACTAAATAAAAATAAATACTACCTGCAATCCCACAATAATTGTTATCTCTTCCTCGGGAACGTAAGCGGTAGATTTGCCCAATCCACTTGCATTAATTAGAATTCGATAGTGTGGAGTATCTTTTACATCCTGTAAAAACAGAAGGAAAATAAAGAGCCTCAAGAGGAAATAGTGACTAAAGATTACAGTGTATAATCCATTAACTTGCAGTAGACTTACAGAATCTAAAACCACTTAATATATACATATGGCAAGTTTACATTTTGTGATCACACCAACATCAATTTGGAAAACTAAATATAAAACAATCAAAATGCAGTGAGGTTCTTCTTGGCAAATATATATGTATTTTATTTTAAGAGCCAAGATTTTAAGTATCATTTTCTTCCATGCATCTTTCAAGATATATGGCTTAGAATATCTCTTGGGGCCTGCTTTCTGTATATAGGACCTGCGACAATCTGTTAGCCCTGCTTCTACCTTCATAACTGTTGACAGAGAACACCAGCGAGACAGGGTCAAATTCAGAGCACCTCCGACAGCCTCAGTGTCCACTCGTGGATAAAGCTACAGCAACTTGTATATACAGCCATATATAAAAATCCCCTAGCCAAGAAGGAAATGTCGCTTACTGTTACTTTTGCAGTGCCTACAAACCCCAGTTATTGGCCAGGGTCCCACTGTGCTGTCTACTGTCCATAAATGTTCCCGCCTAAAGTAACTCCCAGTCTAAACACAAAACAGTGATGGATGAATATAGGCAGATAAATGGAGTTTACGCAGCAGTTAGTATTGATCCAAGTGACAGGCAGCGGCCTCTGCTCAACAGTGTGGTAATAGATGCAAGGCAGAGAAAGGCAGAAAAAGAATGGGCTCAAAGCTTGGCTAATATTCAGCATAGATTTGCAACAACCAAGCTTAATAGTTGCCTCGTCAGAAGTGATCAGAAGACATTTTGCGTAGCAGTACAAAACATGAAAAAGCAAGGGCAAGTCAAAAATAATAATAATAAAAAAAAACACAACACTTAACCACACTTTCTCTATTGAAATTAAAACCATAATATGAATACAAGGTCATTGGGAGAACAGAAAACTGTAAGATGCTTATAACAAATCAGAATGCCTGATGGAAAATACATAGGTGTGCAGTTGGTAACAATACCATTGAGGGGACAAAAAGAGAAGGGTGAAGAGCAAGAATGCAGATGTTTTAGATGCCAAGGATGAGTAGCAGATGGATAAAATCACAGCAGGGAAGGGACAAAATGAACACAACAGCGCTGAATGTCTGCTCCCAGCTGAACATGAGTTCTCATCTACAGGCAGTTTCTCGTTTTTTCTCATTTTCAGTCCTCTCTGGCTTACTGATGAGTGCCTTCATGCCACTTAGGCAGCATGGCAGTGGCCAACCTCCAAGTATCCTGCACTGCATTATCAGGCCAGCACTGTCAACAAACATTTAGCATCTGATTTTCAAATACAACACAGACTTAGGCTACAGAATTTCAAAAGCTTCAAGAATTCTAATAAAAATCCATTGTTAAATAGATACACATTTCAACTGTCCAGATCCTCAGAAGCATAGCTTCCTATCTGAAACAGATTAAACACAAAGGCTTACTTGCATTTCTTAGGTGCAGTGAAGATGTTACCAGTTATATCTACTCTAGAATATCAGAAGAAACTTTTCAATTTCAGTGACATGTCATGAGAAATTTTATTCTAACATTTCAGGTTGACCCTGCTATTTTAAATACAACACTGCGTTTGTCATTTTAAGTCAAGTAATGTCAAGCACAACCCTGGCCAGCAAAGTTTAAGCAATCAGTGCTGCAAAAGCAAAGCTCTGCCATCAGGTTAGCAGGAAGTCTGAAGCAGCGTTAGAGATTTTCTTGTTTTTAACCAGTTATTCTGTGTCTGTATTCATAAAACAGGAGTTTAATTCCGCCAAACCTGTTTTTCTGGAGGATATTTGTGTTGTAGCCATTCTTCTGGAGCTTTAGCTCTCACGTCCCATCCAACAATGACTCCCAAATAACCAAATCTTTTGTGAACTATCACCTGTCCCACACTGAACTGGATAGATCCAGGCTTTGGACTGTGAACGTGAGATGACGCTAATTTAATAAAGAAAGAGAGTTAGCGAGGAGAAGTGTTTTAGGAAGCATGTTAAGCATTTATACAGACATTCACATTCTTCTGGCTTCTACCAGAAGAGAATTGACAGTTAGATTTATAGGCAAAAGTTAGCAAGGAAACAGGCTTGTTTGTTTGTTTGTTTTTCCCCCCAGGAGTACCACTATGATATTTGACAAAACAGCAATCAATAAGGAAAGCCATTTTCTATTTGTGTCTCTTTGAGATGACATAGAAATCTTAAAAGTGTTCTGGAAAGCATAAACACATGTATGTATTGACAGTTACTGTTCAGCTTCACCTTTATATTCAACATTCTACAATGCTACACACAATGACTAATTTTGTCTTTTTTTTTTTTTTTAGTTTGGGCCATGGAATGTTTCTATTCCATCTTCTGTGGGAAATTTTTTGTCAGAGCAGAATAATCAATGGCTTCTTTTTCCTCTTTTGAAGTTGATTCAAATGCATTCATTTGAATCAAGTGAAAGCTATACCATTATCTCATACATCAGTACAGAATACACTTAGATCTGTCCAATAAAACAGACTCATATATGTGGTGCATCGATAACATTGCACAACTCAAGGTGGAAAGGCTTCAGATTGCTCATGTTCTGTTTTGCTTACTGAATGGTATCAGTGTTTAGAGAGAACCAGGAAGAAAATTACAAGTATAGGAAAACGCTATAGAAAAACATAGAACACATTATCACCATCAAAATCCAAAAAGACTGCAAAGACTTCAATACCTGCAAAATAAGAATGGTTTTCTGCTTCATTGTTGGCACTTTTGATTTTCTTTTCTCCGTAGTACCAGTTCCTAAAATGTAAGATGAATCACCAAACATTCAAACAAGTTATTTGGAAACTGAGTTGTAGGATAATCAGCTTTCTGATTATTACCTTAAGCCTTTGCCTGAACAAAGGAATGCTGCAAAGCCATAATATAAATTCCTCATAATTTGAAGCTCAAACAGAACTTTACTTTAATACCACTTCAAGACAAAGGAATTTTTTTCCAAGAGGATAAAAAAACATGAATATACCTTCCTTGGATATGTAGCTCCACAGCTGCATTCGAATCTTTATTTCAGAGAAAACCCATTTACTTTCTATAGGTGAAATTGATATTGTTCTGATGTGTAAATTCTACTGTGAAAACTTAAAGGTTGGTTAACTGTGGTTTGTACAAGACGTCAGCAATGAGCCACAGCTTAAGGCTATAGTAAATTTAGCTTATTTGTGCTAAGCTGAATTTAAAGGGGGGGACTTATCTTTTTTTGGGGGGACAGGGGGTAGACTAACAAATATTTCTTCTGCTCAAAATATAATAGGAGAAATCTATGAAAAAAATAATTGGGGCAACCCTGTCCATGGCAGGCATCCACAGCAGCCAGAAACCTGGTGGTGCTAATGAAGTAGCATTTGTCCTACCTTCTCTCCTCTTCTATGATGTTCACCAGCTTTGCTCTTTCAGTCTTAATCCCTTCACCCTGCCTGAAAGAAAGCAAAAGCAGGTTCCACAACTGTGCAAACTCTGTATTTGTTTGTTTGTTTATTTATTTTTAAATCTTAGGTTAACTCTCACCTGTTGGAAGGCTTAACATTGACAACCTTTTAACAGAAGCAGGAAGGGGCAAATAACCTGACTTGTCAGACTGTGTTGTTGAAAACAGCAACTAGTAAGGAAGGTTTGGAATGTCACAAATGTCCCCAGATTTTTAGGATATCCAATTTTTTTTTAATGATACGATATTCAGAAGACACAAGCTGCTCCAAAAAATATACAAATAATTGACTGAGCTTTTAGTGTTTGAGGGTTTTATCTTTACACACGACTGACACTTTCTGCAAAGCTGAAAAGCAATTTACAGTGAAGCTGAGAGCAGCACAGTTTCCTTTTGTATGTCATTCTGCTATGCTTTCCTGGGGGCAAAAATAAGCCTGAATTTTTCACAGTTCAGAAGTACTCCTAAGCACCTGGATCACTGTCCACGAATCAATTATAAAGGACCTCAAAGGTCTAGGCAGTGTAGAACCTTTAGTATTTCTACTGCACAAGGGTTATGTCTCACGAAGGAGCCCTTTAACCTCCTTGAACAAATCCATTCAATAATTACCTTAATCTGAACTGACATATGTGTGAATGAATACAATCCTTTTTTTTTTTTTTTTTCTAGACCACTTCATCTGTATGCATCCAATAACCAAGTTTTAATCCTAAACTCACAGATTTCCCATCTGCATTTTCTAGGGCCACCATGTATAGCATAAGATACCCATCTCATTGTAGTAGATCTTACAGTGCAAACATTAACACAGTTAATCCAGTAGTCTTTGATACAGATCAGTTTAAAGTAGTGGATAACACACATGGAATTACTGCCATGAATTATGTCTAGCTTCACACAGAGTTCAAATTGCACATTTGTGTAGAAGACACGCAACGGTTTTGTTAGAACTGGTGCAAAGCCACAAATCAGTCTCAACATGAAAATGAGAGCCATTTCCCCTCTGCTACTCATATCACTCCTGCACCATAACCTCCTGTTAAAAATAGGCTGTGTTTGAAAGATGCAGACAGTACGTAACGCTGTACCTCGCCTCCGATAGCCGCAGCTTCAAACGATCTGCCCACAGGTCCAGGCTCAAGTAAGATTTTGTAAAGCTGCTCCCACAGGCAATTAACCTTCAGTAGTAAAAAAATAACACCACAGTGTTTTAAAAGCCTTCCAGAGGATTTTTATATTTACAAATATATTAACATTTACAAACATGTATATATCTAAACTTTAAGGTTTCACTTCTGCAGCGAACAGGAAAAAAAAAGTCCACAACAAGGAACAAGTTCCCCTCAAGATTCATATCTAGACTGTAAATAAACACCCTTTCAATCATCATTTGTGCCAGTAAACCATATATAAATTTTGGAAAATGCCACCTGTCATGGCCAAGCAGCTTTTTTTCTGCACTCAGGCCACAGGAGTTACTTCATTGCATCAGATTCTGCTGTTTCAACTGTAACTTCGGAATACTGAGCACAAGGCATTTTAAAAACACTGCACATCACTGAAGGACTGTTAAAAAACAGCCAAAAAGTTCTTCATGCACATAAATTGTTAACAGTTGGCTTCAACCGTGAAATCTCTAATTGTTTTAAATCTAGATCCTTACCCCCACAACTCCTTTTGCATGGTACATGTTCAAGATACCAACATTGGCAATTGTTACTACAGTTAAAAGCTTGAATCTGGTGCCCTATTGTCCATCTTCTGGACATTAGTAAATGTACATGTGACCCTGTCAATAAACTCTTAATTCATGAACAGAACAGCACCATTTGCCTAGCTCTATCACTATGACTTCCTTAAGTTAATATATGATGTAAGAATTCCTGCTACTTAAGACTCCATAATGAGTCATACAGAGCAAAAAAAACTATTTTAAGAATAAGTATCAAAAGGTAATGGAAAGTTAGAAATTGTCTTACTACTCAAACGTTGCATTTTTCCCCTTTTAAAGGGGAGATTCATATAGATCAGAATTATTAAAACATCCAAAAGCAGAATGAGATGCAGCCATGCAGGAAGATTATACACAGATTTTTACATGAAGACAGTAAGAGCTGTCACTCACATGCTTAAAGTCTCTTTCATACGGTCACATTAAGCCATAAAAATATCATAGGTTTGATGTGAATGTTTTTGTATAGGAATGGGCAGCATCCCACACAAACTCTCCCTTTCCAGGAGAAAGATTTGCTGGGAATGTCAAGAGAACTCTCTTATAAATAGCATGTGGAAGGAGAGGTGCACCACCTTTGTGTCATTCGGATTCTCTGAGCAGGCTCTGCTCCGTACCACTGGGATATGTAACACTGTGCAGGAAGCGCAGCCAGCAGCGCACAGATCTGCAGGGCTGCAGCTGCGCTGATGTGAGGCATCCCAACAAGGAGTTCTTCAAGGAGAATTCCCTGCTCACTTATCTAGAAAAGAGGCCAAAAAAAAAAAAAAAAAAAAAAAAAGGGAAAAAAAAAGAAAAAGAAGGTAACATGCAGCTTGTCTAGCTGCATAGAGCTTAAAAGTTCCCTGTGGATTGCTTTGTTACTCCACAGGATAATATACAAACTGTACACACAAATGTAAATTAGGTTTCGCTACATTAAATTTGAGAGCGTCTATAGAAACTAATAGAAGACTGAAATAGAGTAATTAAATGCATTAAACACATTTGACACGTCAGATCGATGGCTTCCGAAAAAGCCATTTAGATGCAGTATTGCATGTGCAGAATGGAGGATTTTTCTCCAAGAATGTTTCCTTCAGACCAGAAGCATTACCCCAAGGAAAGAGTAACACAGGCCACCGTCACACGAAGGCCTGGAAGCACTGAATCACAGAATGGCCAGGGTTGGAAGGGACCTCAAGGATCATGAATCTCCAACCCCCCTGCCACAGGCAGGGCTACCAACCTCCACATTTAACACCAGACCAGGCTGCCCAGGGCCCCATCCAACCTGGTCTTGAACACCTCCAGGGACGGGATATCCACAACCTCTCTGGGCAGCCTGTTCCAGCACCTCACCACTCTCATAGTAAAGAATTTCCCCCTGACATCCAATATAAATCTCCCCTACCTCACCTTAAAACCATTTCCCCCTGTCCTTCTGGAAACACAGCAACACCACAGTGACCCCTGCACACTGGTTACAAAATGATGGGTGTCACTGTAACTGACACTGCCCGGACATCAGGCAGGTCCTGCAGCCCCAAACAGCTGCACACACCCCCAGGTACCTCAGCAGCCGTCAGCACGTGTTTCTGCTCTGCTCCAGCCACCCCGAGGCTCAGCTGAGGGCTGCCTCTTCACTCTGTGGCCCCAAGATGAATGGCACCCCTAAT